GAGGAAGGTGAGTGCGGGCGGGCGCGGGGCTGGGTTGGGCGCGCTCTGCTCCCCTCCCCTCAGCGCCCCCCTGCTCTGGCACCGGAGAGACCTCTGTAGTCCGGATCAGGGGGTGCACCCCTCCTCGGAGCAAGGGAGGCCTGCGCCTAATGGGTTTGAAGAAAGACGGGTTTAAAGAAAAGGGACAAGGAGCGGGGCAAGTGCTGAGAGAGGCAGAAAGTGGGTTGCTTAGATCCAAAGGGATAAAGAAGGCAGTTTAACCCCTCCTCTTATGTCTGCCTGCAGACAGGCTACAGGAAAATCATGTGGGTGAAATGTTGGGAATGATTTTGATCAGGTTTCACGTACAGCTGGTAGAAGGTAACTGCTTCTTCCTTTCCCCTCTGCAAAGCCAGTCAGCAAGGAGCAGATTGTCAGAGACGTGGGCAGGCAGCCCCTTGAAAGTTCAGGGGAGCCGGGCACCCAAGTCTCCTTTTGAAAGTGTCTTCAAGAAGTTTCTTGGATCTGTACTCTTCAATGTCTTCATCAGTGACTTGCACGTGGGTGTAAAGTGTACTCTTGTAGCCGGTAGGTCAGGGAAAACTTATAGCACCTAGGTCATAACATAAATTGTATAAGGTTAAACATATAATGAATTGTGCAAATGTGGTCTATGTGACAAACAAAGAAGCAGCAGGTAGCACGAAGATAATGGAAGTCTGTGGTTTAACCGAAGATAAGGTTGTTTTGAAGGCTGACTGTCTCAATTATATCTGTACAACATCCTTGATAAAGGGGAACCAGCTCCAAACCACCTTCAACTGGTGAGATAAGGGGTTACATGCTGACCAAGCAGCGCATGCCTGAAGAAAAAGCGTTCAGAAATCTTGCCCAGCAACATGAACTGTATAAAAGGGGGCAGGAGAGAGGATGACAGGGGAACTTGCTTCACCACCGAAGCCCACCCCACTCCATCAACCGATAGGTATTGGCCATCCCTATCTACAGTGCCCTTGGGATTATGTAGGTGTGTCACCTGCGAGAGTGTATATATATGTGAATGTGTGAGTTGGTAGGGTAACACGACCTTTAATCAGCTAATGGTCTCTGATAAGTGTATAACTCCCCAGTACCCTTAGCAATAAACTGCCCCGCTGAAAAGAAACTAACTTTTCGTCATTAGTTTAATTTTTAGGTTACACCCTGTCCAAGTTTGAGGATGATACTAAATTGTGGGGTGAAGTGCACACTCCGGAGGGTAGGGAATGATTGCAGGCAGACCTGGACAGGTTGGAAAAGTGGGTAG